GGAATCTCAGAACTAATCAGATCTTGGGTCTCTTCAGGAGATCCCTTCATAATATCATTTTGATCATTTGTCGATTTTCTTTTTCTAGGATTTCGATCCTTAGAACCCAAAGATCTACCACGCTTCAGGCGTGCTTTAGGTTCACTAGCTCTCATACTAGTAGATGGTCCTGCTGGGACATCAATCCGGACAGGTACATTCTCTGCAGGGATATGCGACTTAGTTATCCTTTTCAAATCAGTAAATACGTCTGGCATTTGATTTGCTACATTCTGTAAATAGATGATCTTCTCGACCTCCTGATTACATATAGGGGTACGTGGATCAAAGTGAGATAATGATGAAACTTTTCACACAATTTCTCTTTTGATTTCCTTTTTCTCTCCCCCTAATTGTGGGAAATTTGTTTCATCAAATCGACAATCTGCAAATCGAGCAGTAAATAAATCTCTCGTCAATGTTTCAAGATAGCGAATAATAGAGGGTGATTCAAATACAATATATATTCCTAACCTTCTCTGCGGGCACATTTTACTGTGCTGTGGTGGTGCTACTGGCACATATATAGCACATCCAAAAATTCGTAGATGGGCAATATTTGGTTCATTACCAAAAATTAATTGTGACAGAGAATATTTATTATAATGTGTCGGTATGAGACGGATAAGTAATGCTGCATGCAAGATAGCATGGCCCCAAACAGTAGTGGGCAATTTTGTTTTCATAAGTAGTGGTCTTGCTATCAATTGCAGGCGTTTAATAAATAACTCTGCAAGGCCATTTTGAGTATGAACATAAGCTACAGGATGTTCAACTTTTATCCCAACTGATAGACAATAATCATCAAAAGCTTGAGTTGAGAATTCTCCAGTATTATCAAGACGAATAGCCTTTATAGGATAATCTGGGAATTGTGCCCTTAATCGAATTATTTGGACTAATAGCTTTGCAAACGCCAAGTTGCGAGATGATAGTAGGCACATGAGACCATCTTGAAGATGCATCTATTAGGACCATAAAATATCTAAACAA